TTTTTTTTTTATAGGACATCCAAGCGTACGTATACTCTGTCGCTGTGTTATAATACAGTCATGTAATGTCAATTTCATGCAGTCTTTTTAACAATGTAGATCACAACGCATGAAATATCTAAAAACGAGGAAATATTTTTGATATTTGATTAAATGGACACGTTGTGTATAAAATCGAGATACGTTATACACTGAATAGTTTAAAAGTAATATTATCATAGTATTTTCGATTTCTTTAAAAGACTGTTTAACTATTAATATACTTATTTATATATACACATATACTCAGTAAATATAATTAAACTTTTGACTAATGGTAGTTTAAGATATTTCTCTCCTTCGCACTCTGTCTTCCTTTCTCTCAAATTTAACAAATTTCTAAAAAATCATAAAATTATATAACACTCTTAAATTCTTAAATTATAGCAAAATAGGCCAATTATTTTTCGCTTGTTTCCTCAGCTAGGAAAACAGCTTACTTTTTGAAAAGTATCAATAAAGATCAGTGTGCTATCATTGCACTATTCTACTTTCTAATATATATTATTCTATCATTATATTCTTCCTAATATATTCATAACATTCCGCGCTTGTTGTCATACATTAGATAACAAAATTACATAATATCGATCACATAAACAGAGATGACATAAACCATAAACAGAGCAAAAGATTCCTCGAACTTGGAAGGCATGCTCATAAATCATCACTGCGTTTTATCTCTGTACAAACATATCGTATCATCCAATTAAACTCTTGTCGGATCTCGCGGACACTCTATTATTATATTATCATTCATATTGCTGACCTAAAGCTAATTAAACGAAAAAATTTATTGGGAATAAATGCAGAATTGTATACACATTTTCTATAATTTACAAGAAAATAAAGTGTGCTCGATTAAACGTATGAAAGTAGTGTGCGTTTCTTCTTTCTCATTAATTGTACGAATGCATTGTACGAATAATAACATCCTGTCAATCTCAGAGATATCCATTTAATGACTGCATGTTTCATATAAATGCATATTATATATACATATTATCAGTATATTAGGCTTTATGATTCATGCAATTGAAGGAAGCGACGAAAAATTCTTTAATGAACCGTAAATAATATCGAAACAAACACGTTAAAAAAAGAAAGAAATTATTCATATATTTCTATTTTTCTTTTTAAATATCACGACTTTATTTTTGCGTGATGTGGTAGACGCATGCTAGATGCTATTACGTATATTAAATACATATGTATGCCACATTGACATTTGCAATATATTATATACATTGTACGTCGAAAGATGCACTTAACCGAACTTCATAGGCACTTACAAAAAGCACATAATACATAGTTCTTAACTACTACTATGCGACATGGTTTATAAAAAAAGAATGATTAGAATAGAATAGTATGTTCCTTTCTTGTTCGGCTATTGCGATTAAAAGTAAATCATGTGAAAAAAATAGTATACAATTTTAAAAATAAAACTACATAGTGTATAGATAATATTCATGTGCCGATATCGATAAAATTTTTTAAATTAAAAAGATTGGCGAGAGTAATTCACTTACAAATATAATTGGAACATACTTAAGTTTATATAAATTTTACAATTTTAAGTATTTCATACATCTGACTTTAATTGCTAATAAATAAAATCTGATTCTTTCTTAAATGCAGCTCACTTGGGAATTAAATGATACGCGAACAAAATATATTTTAAAAAATACACTTTCGAGCCATTTTAGAACATATTCCATGAAGTTCATAATTATGAATTTTAATATTCCTTTTTCTTTATATATATATATATATGTGTGTGTATATATAAAATATATATATATGTATGTCAAGACATATTAAATAAAAAAAAATACATAGACCTAACATAGTAAAGAAAAGGAAAGTAAATAATACAGTTTGTCAGCTTTATAAGCAACACTGTACTAGATTGACTGTTTTTGCATATTATTCAAATGTTCCCTTAAATATGTCATGAAATCTATTAGACCAGTTGACAAAGATCTATCCACAACAGTTTTTGGTATCCAACCTTTGAAATCTGTATTCAGGATCCAGGTGAAACGACATTTGTTAACTTCGTCAGGTAACTCCTCTGTTGCGAAACAGCTTATACCATTTTCACCCCTTAAAGAAAATATTAAAAATAATAATAGCTTCTCCTCTCGTTCTCTTTATTTTCTTATACGTATTTCTTGTAAAGTATAATTCGTTTCTCACCTTGTCATGTTTGGGCGAATTTTAACTGACGCGGTATGAACCGATACACCAGCAGTGATATAATAATTGTCGCATTTCTTACGATGCCTTAAAATAACGAAATCTCGCGCCGTAATGAGCCCGCCGCCAAAAGGGCTTGTTGCTTGGTAAACAATATCCGTGTTTTCGTCAATAGTCTGTTAAAAATAAATTTTATTATCGATATAACAAAGTATTGCAGTAGGAAAAAAAGTGTAAAAACTAAGTTTTACTGACCTGTAATTTCATTGATTCTGTCACAAGCTTATTCCACGAAGTTTGTTCCTCAATATTATCAAACAATAAATTTATCACTAAGCTAGCAGGTGCGTCGATGATACCCTTAAATGATGATTAAATTATTTTAATAGTTTAAAAATAAGAACATTCCTTCATTACCGAAAAATTCTGCGTCTCTTTAATTTATATATCTTAAATTTATGCTATATGCAGCTCACCGTGATCTTCAAGACCTTTCCGTCTATTTTCCATTCTGGTGGAAACTGCATGCAGGACATTTCATCGTCGTCGTTTGTTATAATTATGTCTTTCCATTCTGTCGATGTTAACAAGTCGTGACAATCTTGTAACATTTTAGATGCCCTCGTTTTATATTCATCGACCTAAAAGAAAACCACATAAAAAGATTCTAATGTTTAATT